ATACTTATTAAAACTTCTAATTGTATGAAAGTTTAGTAAGTATTTTTTGTCACAGCTGTACTTTTGAAGCACTTTGTGAATGTTCTATTGTTATTTAATTTTCTTTTCTTAAATTATTATATTTTATGTACATACATATATATATATATTTCTAAGTGCGTGCTCAGTTTTTATGTCCAAGGTAATAATTTTACTACAAAAGAAACGATGAAGTTCCAAATGATATTTCTAACCTTTCATTTTATAATGTCAGTATTTATACAAATTGTGCCTTTATTACTAAGTTATTTTCTAGTTCTATTTATAAAGAATTAAAAATTGTTTATTTTGTAACTTATACAAATAATCCACTTTTCTTTTATCCAAATATGATTTTTAGTGATTCTGTATCCTATTTTCTAGCACTATGAAACTGATACCAGAGATTTAGCAGGTCTAGCTTGGTCTCCTGATGACAGAGTGCTATGTGTGTGGGAATCATTGGCTGAAGATGTAAGAATGTTGTTATTAATATCTTTCTTTTAGCAATGATACATTAAAATCAGTTGTTTTTATTTTTCTCACAGTGACTGGTTGCTGCCACTTGCTGTGCTTTTATATAGGTTTAAAATCGGATGTTTAAGTCTCACTCAAGTGATTGCAAACTATATACATATATATATATATTTTATTTTTGTATTGGTTTGATAATGTTTTATTGTTTATTGCCTGTGATTCTGTTGAAAAATATACATGCTTTGTAGTATGTTATCAAGAATTTAATCAAACACTAATATGTTGATTTTGGACAGTAAACACTAAGCTTTTTAGGATGATATAATCAAATTTATCTATATTTGAGAAACAAAATTGCACTGAGGATTACTATTATTTTGTTCTATATTTTAGGATGCTTCACATTTCTTGTCGGTCATCGATTAAGAGGTTTATTGAGTGGCAGCTTCAAACTGCCCTCAATTGCTTGTTCAAGTGGACTACAGCAAACAGTTTTACCTTTTTTTTCTCCAAAACCATTTGCACGCACTTTTGCCACCAACGGGGTTTACACCCTGATCCCAAGCCTTGTCTCGGTGATGTTGTTCTTCCCATGGTCCCTGAGGAAAAGTTCTCTGGGTTTATCTTTTACTGTAAGCTTGCTTTAATTTTTCATATCAAGCAGCTACATGTCAAGTGTACAAGGGCCCTGAACATCTTCCGTGTCGCCTCTTCCACCTCTTGAGGAGCAGATTGATGTTCTTTGCTCAATGTCTGTTGTGCCCTCATTTGATCCAAACTGGACTATGGGGCTCTGGTCTATGGTTCTTCCAGGGCCTCTGCCTTGAAGATGTTGGACCCCATTTACCATCTGGGGCTTCAGCTCTGCATCGAGGCTTTCCGCACTTCTCGAGTCCACAGTTTGTACACAGAGTTGCACAAACCTCCTCTTCACCTCTGTCATTCTCTACAATATGCTACCAAGCTCGATCCTTACCACAGCATCCCACTTGGCATTGTGTCTTCATGTCTCATTGGACTGTGCTTTATACAAATAGACAGTCTTCTATTCCCACCTTTGGCCTTCATATCCAGGAACAGTTTATTGATCTGGGTCTGACAATGAATAACACTGCTGAATCTGATGATCAGCATAATTATACCATGGCTTGTCACAATCCCCATAAGTGACATTTCTTTGAATCATCTGAAGAGGTCAGATACTCCTGACTGGAATTACCATCTTCACTTCAATGAACACCTTTAGAACTATTCGGTTTCCATTTTTATGGATTTTTAAAAATATGGTGACTCTTTGGGTCTGCCGTCATTCGCTGGTGACTCTTTGGTTGCTCACAAGATCTCCTCTAATGATTCTGTGTTGACTGCTGACTTATGTTTCAACTTTGCAACTTTCTCTGCAATATGCTATCATGCTTGATCCTTACCACAGCATCCCACCTGGAGTTGTGACTTTTTTTCTCAGTGGGCTATGCTCTTTCGGAACAGATGGTCTGCTATCCTTCCTTTTGTCTTTGTATCCAGGCATAGCTGGCTGAATTGGGTCTGTCATTGGCTGATGTTGCTGTCTCCATTGATCAGCTCATCCCACCCTGGCTTATTACCATCCCCACTATTGACCTTTCTTTGAATCATCTGAGGAAGGCTGATACTCCCGACTGAAAATACTGTCTTCTCTTTGCAGAACATCTTTCGAACCATTCTTCTCTTTCCATTTTTATGGATGATTTGAAATCATCTGACTGTGTTGGCTCTGCCATGGTTTGTTGTGGCTTGGTGATTTCTCACAGGATCCCCTCTACAGTTTCTGTGTTTGCTGCCGAGTTGTATGCCATTTTCTTGTCTTGGATCACTTAAAAGCTATGCAGTACACTCATTGTAGCATTTACACTGACTTTCTTAGCTCTCTGTTGCCCCTGGAATTGCTTCACATTCATTCTCACCCTGTTCTCATTGATATTCAGAAACAACTGGCCGATTTTTCTTTATCTTCTGTTTACATCCAATTTTACTGGATACCTGTCTACATCAGTATTCGTGAGAACAAGCTCGCTGACACCACAGTTAAGTCCATCTCCTCTGGTGCTGTCATGGCCGTGCCTATCTCATACATGGACTATGATCCTGTATTCAAGGCTTGGCTTCATGCCAGTTGGCAGTTGACTTGGGATGAGCAACATCATAACAAGGTTTTCCAGATGAAACCTCCTGTTGCTCTTTGACTGTCTTGTTTCCATAAGGATCAAAAGGAGGAACTTGTCTTGGCTGGGCTACGCATTGGTCACAGTTTTGTAACACATCATTTTCTTTTATTTGGGACTGATCCATCAATGTGTGGCCTTTGTCATTACGACCGTGAGTGGCGGCACCATTTCAGACATGTATTTACTACAGGTTTACCCCGATGTTGGCAGTGGTGACACTGTTCAACTTCATTGTTTTTAAATTTTATGAGCCATTGGCCTTTTTAATTCTATTTGAATCTTTTATCTGAATTTTGAACATTGTTTAGTTTTAACTCAATTTATTTTTACATTTTATTTAAATTTACTTTGAGTTTTACCAGTGGTTTGGTGCAGATAGCTTAATGGCTTTGTGCCATTAAATGCCAAATAAACAAACAGTTCTTTAGGATGCATGGTTATAGAAGTGTTATTGTTGTTGACATCAGTTTCAGTTGAATAGAAACCTAGTGTTTTACAAATCTATTCACTAAATAACTAGTTAAACTAATAATAATAATCCATTTAAAAATGGATACTATACATTGTTCAACTTTTCTTTTAAAATAATTTTAAACCTGAACATGTCCATAAGCATGTAAGCTATTCTGTTTTATTTTATGAAATACTGTTTTTGTAATAGTTGGTGGGTGATTAAAAGTATATGTTTTGTCTTTAGCATTACTATTCATTGAAGTATTGTTCATAAAGATTACAATTGTGTTTGAAAACAATATATGTAAATATATGTAATTTTGAAGTGATTGTAATAACTAAAATATTGAACAAATAATCTGGTAGCTCAACCTTGTGTATTTGGCCAGATATATGTTTTAAAAAAAAACCAAAATCAGCTTAAAGGTTTAGTAACAGACTAAAAGGTACTGTTCCTGAATTAGAACTTGTACTAATAATAATAGCTGCTGCCATTATTTTGCTCATTGTGGTAATGTCCCTTCTTTAATGATAGGGATTATACCTCAAATGTAAAGTAGCTATATCTGTTTTAATTAGATGTTATCATTGTGCAAAGCTTCTTCGTTCTAACCTTACCTCTTTTGATATAAACATCTACAAGTTTTGTTGTACATTTACAGATCCCTAAGCTATATTCCTATTTGGAGTAAAAGATTAACGAAAACCTCATAATGAAATCTCCAAACAGCAATTCATGATCACTAGGAATGGTTAAACAATATTTCATTGATGAAATATATTGAAAAGTTTATTTTTAGTTTTTAGAAATGTTTTCCTTGTAAAGTGATGACTGTTAAAACATCTATGTACTTTTTGGGCATGGAGTTGATCCTGAAATAAAATTTTATTTTTATACTAGAATTAATATTAATCATGTTTAAGTAGCCTTGAATAGAAAAACAACATTTAGTCACTTTGGTGTTGAGTAGACTTTTATTATACAGTAGAAAAACAAAACGTGTGTAAATATTCATAAAATAATCAAAAAGTTGAGCACGGTAAATTTATGAATTATTAACTCAACAATGATGAATTGACATTTTACACCATCCATTGGGAAATATTAGTATTAGAATTAATATTAGATAAATGCTTGAATAAGTCTTAAATATATTACTTGTTTATATATGCAGATGAAAGTACTTTGTGAATAGATATTCATTGGAAAATAAACTTTTCTTTATTCCTGTACATTTTTGCAGTATTTACTAAACTTTTATGAGCAGATGTAGAAAACAACCGTGCATATCATTTGACAGTTGTTTTGCTAGAGTTGATGTAATGAATGTAGAAAAATGTTAAGATACATTTTTGTTGTTAACTGTGTGTTTCTTATTTTAATATTTTACTCAAAACTGAAAATATCAGGAAGAAACTAAAAAAGAATATATATACATGCATGTTTTTTTTTTTTTCATAGTATAAAGTTGTGCTCTACTCAGTCGATGGTAGATGTCTTGGTTCATATTTAGGGTACCAGATGGCACTGGGTATCAAGTCAGTCACCTGGTCTCCAACTTCACAGTTTTTAGCTGTAGGGAGCTATGATCAGAAGGTTAGTTCTAGTTAGAAGCAAGATATCTTGGTTGTTTTTAATGACAAGGAAGAATGCTATTTTAGTTGTTAATTTTCCAAAAAGAGCTTGCAAGATGAAATTTACCTTTCATATTAAATTAACCACATATAATTTTTATTGTACGTAGTCCATACATAATAACATTACAGTCATTGATTAGTCTCTCATTTTACAGGTTCGTTTGTTGAATTCCATCACATGGAAAACCATAACAGGTTATGACCATCCTTCCAGTGTAACAGATTTAGACTTGGTAAGAAATATTAACAATGTTTAGTACCTAATGAATATACATTTAAACTATTCTGAAGGAAGCTTTGTTTTAATTTTAACCACTGTCCTCCTAGATGTCATTTTTTTCACAGTTAACCTTTTTCCACACTGGTAATGAGTATTGTATTTTTCATTCACTTTTAAACTTCTGCAGTAACTTATTTATGGTCTATAATTTTTATGTTGTAGAAGTAGAAATAATCTATTAACTAATTTACATATATTTTTTAATGTATCCATTCTTAGTGCAACTAATACAATCATAAATACTAGGTGCTTCATCTTCTTCTATTAAACAAGCAGTACATTCTAAACCATTCTGAATGTTAAATAACTTAAAACCCAATCAATGTCTATTAAACAAGTAGTGCATTCTAAACCATTCTGAATGTTAAATAACTTAAAACCCAATCAATGTCTATTAAACAAGTAG